GAGTGGCATATCGCATAACCGGGCAAGGTTGAATGTTTATACAGTTTGATGTTAGTCAAGGGAAGTTCTGTTACGTGTCTGACTGGCTGGTTTAAAATCCATGGAAATAATTCTGAGAAGGATATCGAAGATGTATCTGAGCTGTTGCACAGGAAAAGAAGAAAGCTCCCAAGATCTTGCTGTATGTTTTTCCTAAGTGCTTTTTTTCCTCCTTTATTTTGTTTCAAAAATTCAAATACTTACTCATGTTGGGGTTTTTTTTGTTTCTTTTTTTTAACCAGCAGGAGACACATGTTTCATTTGAAAGAATTTTTGCATGTTTACTGTTAGTTAATATTTTGATTATTTTCATAGAAAAGTTAGTCTTTTGGTATATGCTGCTACCCATGAATCCTTCCTGTAAGGAACATATTTATTTTGTTGTATTCTGATACACTAGGCAGAATTGTATTCTTCTAATTAAAATTAACCTATGTCGTCTAGGCACGGAGGGTCCTGGTGTCAGTGTCTCAGAGGAGAGACAGAGTCCTACTGAGAGTAGTGGCATAACTGTCATCTATAATCCTTATGCTTCCCTTTCTATTGAACAACAAAGACAAAAACTGCCGGTTTTTAAGGTACAGAAGTTCTTTTTGGTATATTAAATCTGTCTGATGTCTGGCTCTCGTGTCTTTTTGAAAGAGCAGTGTAGAGTCACTTTACAACATAAAATAATTATTTTATGGCCTTGCTCTCTTTATTTGTTGGAATTGATTGTTCTGTTTGACAGCTGTGACTGACAGTTTTACAGGCTTTGTAGATTTACGTTATTTACTGTAAGTTGTATGTGTCTTTTATAGATTTTAAAGAACTGTTTAGTTTTTGGCAGCAAATTCCATGTAAAATTAATTTACTGTGTCTGTTAGATATGTAAATATTGTCATTTTAATTATTATTTTTGTACATATCTGCTTTTGGTACTTAAATGTCATCTTCTCTTTCAGCTAAGAAATCACATACTTTATCTAGTGGAGAATTATCAAACTCTGGTGATTGTTGGGGAAACAGGTTGTGGGAAATCAACGCAGATTCCACAAGTAAGTGTCTGTTTAACTTGGTAGAATGGGGGGATTTTACATGAAACATTGAACCAGCAACCCAGAACTGCACTGTGAGAATCGAATTCACTTGTGCTCATCTGTAAGACCAAAAGGAGAGAATTATAAGGCTTCGTATTAGATAGCAGGAGCTGGTATATCTGTAATATAAAATATCTGTAATATATCTTAAGGGGGTTCTACAGGAAAGGAGCATACACAACAAAAAAGTGTATGCTGGTACAAATAGTAGTCACTGTGCTGCTCTATCAGAATAATGTTTAAAATTTTGTTGAGAATATGTTTTTAAGAATGAAAAAAAAGTACACTTTTCTTACAAGTTTTCCTCTTGGTAATTTTTGGAATATTGTATATTTGTGTGGTTTTGTAAAATTTTCTCTTTTGGTACAGGAATGAAAGAAGTCTGAGACCGTTTAAAAGTTAGTTCTTGATTTTAATGTGAAAATTGCAGACTAGTGAGGAGTGTCATCTGCTTCAGTGGGAGCACAGGACTTGTGCTGCTTAGCTTTTTTTCTTAAGGGGGTTATAAAGTGAAAGAAGAGAAAAAAATGAAGTAGTTCAAAAATACTTGAGACCCAAAGAACTGCTCTTAGATGCTTTCTGAAAGCTTATGTGCTTAGGAAGTAGGTATTGTACTATATTAGCTTTAATGGTGAGAATAATGCACAAAATCTCTCAGTAACCGATTTGCGTAAGGTCCTGCATCACTTAGTGTTGGAAGCAGGAAAAAGCACATCGTGCAGAGAGCTAACACCTTGCTGTAATCACAGCATGACAATTCGTTTCTTATCCTCCGTATTTGTTTGCAGTACCTAGCAGAAGCTGGCTGGACAGCTGAAGGAAGAGTTGTTGGAGTGACACAGCCTCGTCGGGTTGCTGCTGTTTCAGTGAGTTCCTCTGTGTCCAAATTTCCCCATTTGTTGTCATTATAACCTCCAGTTTATCAGCAGGTTTTGCTGAATAGCAGGAATCACAGCTGCATGAGCTCCTGAATGAACAGACGTTTCTGCTTATCTTCCTCACAGGGTTCCTGCTACTATATGCTGAATCCAACCTGATTAGTAGGTCTTGCCAAAAATTCCAAGTCCAGAATTGCAGATATAGAAGCTTTGAAATAAAATTGCATGGTATCAGCAGAACTGTGTATGGAAGTTAGGGCTGTGCAGGGTGGAGCTGTGATTGACTCTGGACTACAGCTGTGCTTGTGTGACCCTTAACTTCTTTCACAAGTAAAGTAGAGCTGTAAATCTGTGTATAGTAACATAGCCAGTGGAAAAAAGAGGAGGTTGTGTACCTCTTTCTAGCAATTCATCCCTACTTTTCTTGAATCTATTTCTGTGTGTGGGATGGTGGTGGTGTTGTGGGTTTTTCTTTGTGTTTTCCCCTTGTAAGAGTGTCAGGGAAAAGAAGAAACAATTTTATTGTGAGAAATCTTTTCATACACATAGTATGCATAACATCAGATAGGTGTACTCTGAGAGGAAGAAGGAGTGCTGAGGGCAACAGCTTCTACTCTCTGGTAACAGACTGCACAGAAAGCGTCCAGCGCTCGTTGTCTGCATAACTGCTGCCAAACACTGACTTGGTGGGCTGAAGTTTCTGCTGCAGCATTCTTTTTGTACAGAAGACTGAGGTGCCATTTTGTAACCCTCGTTTTGCCTGTTCTTTATAATGTATTAAACTGTACCTGCAACAAATCAGCGTATGCCTCTGATAAAAAATGTAGTAGACGGAACAGCTGTACAACTTGCTGTTTCATCTGTTTTGACAAGATCCAACATAGTTAAGGAAACAGTTTCTAGCAGTGATCCGCATCTTGTGCAGGCAGTCTGCCTGCAGTGTCCTCCCTTTTCTCCTTCACAGGACATGCAGCTGACAGTGCACGGTTCTACAGGAGGTGTTGCGTATACTGCAATGATTTCTCATGACAAACTTACTTCTTTTTTCCCTTTCATGTCATTTTTAACCCTAGAATAAAAAGATTGCTCAATTAGGGCTTAGTGTATAGAGACAGCAGGATTTTTGATTGAGAATGTTGTTGCAACTGCCCAGACTGCATGGCTGTTGCAGGGAGATTAAAGATATAGCTGATGATTTATTGCTTTGCCTTGAACTGAAAGTGATCTTTTATTTTAATAGATGTGCTTATCTGCTTTCCCATCTAGTGTATGGGGGCTATCAGAAGTAAAGATAGGTAGTAGCAGAAGCATAAGGCATAGTTTAGAAATTCCTGAACTACTACTTGCATTACCCAAACTGACAGTTACCCTGAATGCTTGGGCTGAAAGTGATGGAGTGGTAAGATTCCAAGTGAAATCATGAATTCACTGCGTGTCGGTATGGTTTAGAATGTCACTCAAATGACTGAAAGTAGCTTGCTCTTGAAATTCTAGTAGGTCTAATGTATGTATTGTGGAGTTTTATTGTGTCTTTAGCTATTAAATATCTTTGTAGCTTGCTGAAGCTGTGGCCTGATAATACCTAATATTCTGTAGAATAAGTCTGAATAACTCAAGACTTTTAGCTAAAGTCTTGGTTTTAATTGGTTTAAAACTGGCCCAGGGTAATACTGTTCCAAAGATTGTTGCTTCTTTAGTTAATCGGCCAGTTCTGTTTTCTGCATAGAGGATTCTGTATTATGAAAAATAATGTAGCATCTTTATTTAAAAAAAAAAAAAAAAATATAAAAAAAAAAGATGAAAACCATGGAGGTAGGCTTCCACGTTCTTTCCCTTTTTGCATGCCAACTGTGTTCTTAAATTGCTGGTAGATGGTCCTTCCTCAGCGTTGTGGCTGGTTGTGTGCCTGCCTTTGTAGGTCTGTTAAGAGTACTTATCACAGAAAGGTACCTTCATAGCATGCCTGTGTAGAAGCAGTGTGAAACAGATTTTTTAAGCTACACTAAAACATTTTAAAAGTACTTGCTGCTTATATGTTCAGTATGTTCTGTTATGTTGAACAGAATTTTGTGTTTGAAACAAGAAAAATTAATTCTTTGGAAGCACTAGATCTGATCCTGCTTTGATGCCAATTCTCTGTGGACAAAATAGTGATACAACGAAGAAGTGTGCTGTGAGCTGCCTCTTGCTTATAAGAATCTCTTTTCTCAGGTTGCAGGCCGAGTTGCGGATGAAAGAGGTGCAGTGTTGGGTCATGAAGTTGGATATTGTATTCGGTTTGACGATTGCACAGATCCTCAGGCTACCAGAATTAAGGTGAACCATGAACAGTATGTAGTTACTCTGAAAGGGTTAGCTGAAACTCTTCAAGTACTTTTGCAAAATTAATGAGAACCTTGTGGATGTCAGTAAATAAATAGCATTTCAGTTTTCCAGGTGGGTACCCCAAATCTGTGCTTGAAATGGCTGTGGCTGTCCAAACCTTAATAAAACGATTACGTGTTCTATTCTGCTAGTCTGGCAGCTACCGTTTTAAAACTAAAGGAGATTTTCAAGGTAGTTATGGCCAGATCTTAGTACAGTGCTAGTGTGACCTGATACGTCACTCAAAGTCATAGTGAAAGGCTGCAGTGAATCACAGCTAAAGTACCCTCATCACCCTAAAAATAGTTTTTGATTAAAAGCGCAGATAAAACATGAGTAGGCTGAGAGTAATTTGATGTGGATTAAATAGCAAGCTTTGCAGCTGTTCTTTAGTGATGTGAGCAATATTAATGTTGCTTGTGTTGTGTACAGACGAGAGTTTGCTTTAGTTATGCTGGAATAGCTATGATGATGAATGAGACAATTTACTTTTTGATTATTTCTTTTTCTGAAGCTAGTAGCTCTTTTAAAGTGAAAGAAATGGACATGTTTGTTCATTAAATGCAGCTGAAGTAATCTTTTCTTTTTTTTTTTTTTTTGGAGTGTGATGATTAAACATTTGGGGTTGGACTTTTGAAGGTTTTTACCTTGCATGACAGTTACTGCCCAGTTCAAGGCCCCAGTTGGAGTCCCAGATCAAACTGCTCTTTGATGGCTACATAAAGCTGGTGGGTTTCCGCTGGCTAGTAGGAAGAAAATATTAAATTAAAATGTTACGTTCTGTTGAAGTGTTAAGGTTTGTGTTCTGGTCAGAAGTGTGTGATAGATATTCAGTAGCCTACTTTGGGAGGGTCAAGACTGGATTGACACACAGGATGTTACTGGCAGAGCAGATTTAGCCATGTTACAGGCAAGAGAGAATAAACTTCTATTGCAATGTTCCAGTGCTGCCAATCGGGTTTTTTTTGGTTTTTTTTTTCCCAATAAAATAATAACTAATTTTAAAGAATTCATTACTGATTAAAAAGCAATCACTCTGCTTATCTCTGGGTTAGCACTCAGAAATACCTGTTTGGCTTCGGTAGCTGAAAATTGATCAGTTTAATAGATCATTAGAAAATTAAAGGCAAGGAAAAATTCAGGCAAAAACCTTTAAAAATCAAATCGGTTATCAAGACTACCTGATAGGGTGGTTTGGTTTTTTTTTTTTTTACATTTTTCTTTGCATTCACTTTTAGTTTCTAACTGATGGTATGCTGGTGAGGGAGATGATGGCTGATCCCTTATTAACAAGATACAGGTAAGGAAACATGGAATGAATGCTTGCTGAAGTGTAATTTGGTAAACAACTGCATTTTTTTTAGACTAAGGTGTGGTTATTGTGAATTAAATACCAAAAGATGTGAAAATTATTTTAGGAGTTTTGACTTCTTTATGTTGTAGAGACTGTTAGAAAATTAGTTGATCATTGCAACACTGAACTCATCAGGATTTGGCGCTGTGGTTTTGGAATAAAAGTTAAATGGGCCTCATGGAGTCTGAATCATTTAATTTACTAGTTTTAAATTCATTTTTTCTTTCTGATGCTAATCAAAGAAAAAAAAAATCAACAACAAATGCAGGCTATTCTGGTGTGCAGAAAACCTATGCAGTACAGTAAAGACAAACCTTTTTTCTTCCACCCCTTTACAAAAGCCAGCCTGAATACAGTATGTATGACGTGGTGTTATCTACGTTTTTGTCCCTACTTCGTCACTGTGCTTTTTTTTAACTTCCACAGTTTTCTAAGTGGATGTAAATAGTAATAGTCCAGTGGCAGTTTTAAAATAATGATATTTCTAGAAGACAGGAAGACACCGATTCTAGTGTCAGTCAAACCATTTCTGAAATCTTATCCTTCTGCTTCATTCGCAGTGTCCTCATGCTGGACGAAGCCCATGAAAGGACTCTTTATACAGATATTGCCATTGGCTTACTAAAAAAGGTTGGTGGTTGTTTTTTACCATTCTCTGTAACTGTTTTCATTTTCATGCTTTTTGTTAAACTTCTGATCCTGATGGCCGATTAGTGAACCCATTTGAGAGATAGTGATTTCTAGTTCCTCATTTGTCCTACAGCCTATTGTACATACCCAACTATTCACTTTAGATATCTGACACTTGGGTTCCTCTATTTCCTCCCACCGATGCTGAAATTTCTCCTTAGATGATATTAGCAAAAAGGTAGTGTTCATTCTGCTGCCGCTGATCATGTGAAGTGATCTGATAGGGGGTTGTTGTTGACTTTCAACCTACAAAAGCTCTGACTCCCACCAGAAATTAAGAATAAGCTGTAACGATTGCAGACTGAATGCCCTTATAATGAATATATAAAACTCCAAACAGTCATCAGGTTGTTAGATCTATGGGGTGATATGGGTGCTTCAGTTCATCAGCTGCCTTGTGGTATCAAAGTATTTTTAAAGGGAAGTTACTGGTTAGATGCTCTAAAACTTGGTTCTAGCCTTGTATGTCAGAAAATAGTTTTTACTCTGGATGTTCTTGGTCTCTCTCCTAGGTTCAAAAGAAGCGTGGGGATCTTCGACTGATTGTGGCTTCAGCCACCTTGGATGCAGAGGTATAGCTCACAGATTTGGTTTGAAATGAAGTGACCTGAAGTGGCAGCTCCACTTCTATTTATATACAGCCTGTCCTCTGTGCTGCTTGCTTCTTGTGAAGCAGGACTGCTGTTTGAGTGGTGAAGAGAGGAAGGAGTGCCAGAAAAAAATCTGTTCTAGTCAGATTGCTGTGTTTGGTTTTCATTTTGTATTAGCAAACTTTTTTGGAAGTGAATTTAAATATGAATCTGCTTTGCATATATTTGTGCCTTTTTTCCTCTTGTGGCTATTGTGTACAAAGATGTTCTCTCGGCTTAATCTAGTCTAGTAAGAGACATTGGTTTAGCTCTATTTTGCTGATAGCAATAATTTGAGGCAACCACAGACCAGTAACAAATAAGTGATAAGTGAGTGGATTTAATTTCAGTGAGATCTTGCTAGTTTCCTGATTGACTTGTGGCCTGTGGAAACTTATGTAACTTACTGAAAACATCATTAATTTAATCTTGAGTAGAAACAGAAGAAAAGCTCTCCTAGATGAGAGCAGCATTTCATCCAGCCCAGTGTTCTGTCTGTAGCAGCAGCAGCAATAGGAGATACTGTTTAGGGAGAGCACAGGAGCCTGTCCGCCTGCTGTGGTCCATTCCCTTTGAGCTGCTTCAGCATCTGCAAAGGTTGTAATAGAGATAATAGACAGTACATTCCTCCTGTTTCCTTCTAGTATGTGTTTATGGACCTGCTGTTTGTTAATTTGTCTTTGAATCCACTTGAGGAAGCTGTAAATCTCCAGGACATGATGTGAGAGCAATTTTCGGAAGTTTGCTACCTGCTATATAATGAAGTACTATATTTAATTTCTTTTAAACATGCGAATTTCATCAAAGACCTCCTAGTTCTAGAAGTGTGGGATTTTTTATTAAAAAAAGACGAAACAACAAAGAAAACCAGTTTTGCCTTTACTTTATCTGTAAACCTCAGCTGTATGTCTTCTCAACCTTCTGCTCCCCAAGCAGAGCCCCAGCCTTTTCAGTCTCCTCATAAGGCAGTGACTCCATCTCCTTTATCATGTTCATTGCTTTTCTGTGTGCTTTTCTTAACTCCACTGTGTTGTTTGTGAGATGTGGTGGTGAGAGCTTGTGTGTAGCACTGAAGATGTAGGTGTACTGAGATTTCCTGTAGTGACAAATATCATACATCATAAATCTTGATAGTATGCTGATGGTCATACTTCCACTACTGTGTATTCTGTACGTTATATTAGATAACATCACAATACTTTGCCTTTGCAAAATTTTAACTGCCAGAAATCAGACGTTTCAAATAGTTTTCAGTTAATGTAAAAATAAGTTAATAGGAACAAAATGATTAGCATGACGATATAAACATTTGTTTAAATACAGAAAGTTTGTGGTATCTCTATAATGTTCAGAAAAGTTGAGGTGGATTATTTGGGTTCTTAATGTTCATTATTTTACTATTATGTATTTAAAATACTTCATGGCAATAAATCTAAATTTATGAAGGTGTCTTGCAACATGTAAATCAAAAACTTGCATAATCAGGCTAACTGCTTTTACAAAGGGAGATTTTGGTGTTCAGTAAGAGCTGTAAAATTTACTTACTCGTCCAAAAATGAATGAGTGTATGCAATTCCTACCCAAAACTTTTAGGACCAGTCATTTCTAAGTTCTTCTTAGCTTTGACTTTGCTACTGTTATAGATCCAATAAGAAGTTCATATATCTGCTTTTTCCAACTGTATCAGCTGATCTAATTAATTTTATTACCTCTCTTCAATCTTTGCTTCTCAAAGTAATAAACATGCAGGACAGTGTATTTGTGCTTAATGCCTGAACCCTAGACAGAGTAGAAGGCAATAAAATCAAACTTTAAATTTTTTAAATTGGAACTATCAAATGTATGAAGAAAACATCCAAGTAGTAGTAATGTAACTTTTTCATGTCTTTAGGTTTTTCCTTTGATTCTTTAAAGTAGCAAAGTGAAAGTATTTGTTTTTATTTTAATGTAGAAATTCAGGGATTTCTTCAATCAAAACGATACCGGTGACCCCAGCAAAGATACCAGTGTGATCCTTACTGTTGAGGGGAGAACATTTCCAGTGGACATCTTTTACATACAGAGGTGTGTTCCTGTTTGATCTCGTCAGTGGTGACTGGGAGAGTGCGCAACTGTGGTATCAGTTTGTCTGAGTTGGAGCTCAGAAATTCCCAGACCAATGCTAAGGAGGTGTAGCATTCAATTTGGGAAACATTTGGATATTGCTTATAGCAGCAGACATGTTTTTAAGCTTACTGTAGCGTAAAGGAAACAAATTCATTGCTGAAAACTGATTCCCAAGGATGCATCATGAACTAAATGTAGTATAGCTGATATATAGCATCCAAAAGTTAGCTCTCTGTTTGTTCCTTATGGAAGTGAGGACTCTGTACTTATTTTTCTGCTAACGTCTCTGCTGTTTTCTCTCCCTGTAGTCCTGTTCCAGACTATATAAAATCAACTGTGGAAACTGCCATGAAAATTCACCAGATGGAGAATGATGGGGATATACTGGCATTTTTAACTGGCCAGGTATAGACATAAGCATTTTTTTTCCTTTACAGTGTTGTATTGTGGCTTTGTGAAGCCACCTCAGTCTCCTGCTTTTCTTAGCTGTGCTTACTTTAATCTCAGTAACGATGACAAATATTTCTGCGTTGATGGGAGCAGAATGAGGCCAGTCCAAAAGACTTTTAGAAAGTGTAATTATGGTTTGGATTTATCAAAGCTGGTGATGGATGATAGTTTTTCTCATTCAATGCTATATGCTTTCATCCTTGTTAATAAGTGGAGCAGTATGTGGGTTTTGGTGCTAGTCACACCTACGAGGTTGACAGTGAGTCATCACTAATAGTTAAGGCAAATGGAATTTACATTTGTTAAGCTTAACATCTGAAGTCTTTGACAGAAAAACAAATTGCTGTGAGATAAAAATTTACTAGTTTCTTCTGCTCTATTTATGCCTGTCAGCTCACTTCATAGCCAAGAAGAGTAAATGGGAGGTAGCTTATAATTTTCGCAGTGAGGAGCTACCTTGAAGAGCTTCAATAACATCTTGCATATTTTCAGAATAAATTCTTCGTCCCCATTATTGATTTGACTTTGAAAGAGCGAATTGGGTATCTGACAAGGCGATGTCTGAACATTTTGTTGTCTGTTTTTTGACAGTGAGATGCCACAGTTGATCTCTGAGATTAAACGTGAAGTTGAGCAATAAGTGTTAATACTGTTACTGTGTTGTTCCTGATCAAGACCCACAGCATTCTACAGTCAAAATAGATTGGCCTCCCATTTTGCTCTCACAAGTTGAGATACATAGAAAAATATGCCTGCTTCCTTGTGAACTTTGTTCAGTCCATCCCTTGTGATTTTTCTCATGTATTTGTGATATTTTTCTCGAAAAACAATGAACATAAGTGTTTACATACATACTTGTTATGTATAGCAATTTATGTAAGAATATTACAAAATTGAGGGAGCTAGTCAAACGATTCTGGAGTGTGGACAACTAAAATTATATTTGGATTATTTTGGTGCGTTTTTTGTATTGAGGTGACAGTTATGTGAAATTAAAGTGAAACCTCTCTCATTCAGCCCCCTGTCTTGCTCTGGCTCTAGGAGGAAGTGGAGACTGTTGTTTCTATGCTCATAGAACAGGCTCGGGCCCTTTCTCGCACTGGAATGAAAAAACACCTCCGTGTTCTCCCCATGTATGCTGGGCTGCCGTCTCCTGAGCAAATGAAAGTGTTTGAGAGAGTTTCCCACAGTGTCAGGAAGGTAAAGACTGTTGCCTATGTCTCAATTCCTACCACCCAGAAGGGTGTCTGCATCACACAGACTGTATATATTGCATTCACATCATAAGACTATTGCAAACACTTACTGAGGGAGACATTCTGCCTCTCCTAACACTGTCAGTTTTCAAATGGTGAACCAAGAACATGTTCTCTGGCTTCCCTTTGCATCTTTGATCAGTCCTAGACGTGTCAGTTCTAACTCTTCTGTCTACCTCATCAACTTACTAGTTTTTAAGAGTCTTCACACAGCCTTCTATTTGTCTATGTCCAGCTGCAGCTTCTTACACTCTGAAGTCCTCTGCTTTTGCCTGGTTTTATTTCTATTTGTGGTCTAAGTGTCTATGGCTGTTTTCCACCAGTAATGGAAAAATTAGTGACAGAGTGGGCAAGTGCTGTATTTTCACCTAAGAAACAAATTAACGCTTGCGTGGTTTTAGTAGAAAAAAGCTTTGTTTTGACTTTTTGGGCTTGTCTGCCCCAGCCGCGACTTAGAGACATGTGGGGCAAATGAGGCGGTGGTACAGCTTCTTACAACGTAAGAAGAACATGGACCTGTTGGAGCGGGTCCAGAGGAGGGCCACGAGGATGATCCGAGGGCTGGAGCACCTCTGCTGGGAGGACAGGCTGAGAGAGTTGGGGGTGTTCAGCCTGGAGAAGAGAAGGCTCCAGGGAGACCTTATTGTGGCCTTCCAGTACTTAAAGGAGGCCTATAGGAGAGCTGGGGAAAGACTTTTAATGAGGGTGTGTAGTGATAGGACGAGGGGGAATGGCTTTGAACTGGAAGAGGGTAGATTTAGATTAAATATTAGGAAGAATTTTTTCACTCTGAGGGCAGTAAGGCACTGGAACAGGCGGCCCAGAGAGGTTGTAGATCTCCATCTACATCCATGTAGATCTCCACCCCTGGAGGTGTTCAAGGCCAGGCTGGATAGGGCTTTGAGCAACCTGGGCTGGTGGGAGGTGTCCCTGCCCATGGCAGGGGGGTTGGAACTCGATGATCTCCAAGGTCCCTTCCAACCTAAACCACTCTATGACTCTCTGATTCTATGATTCTGCAAGTCTTGTTTGGATATTTAATGTCACAGAACTATATAATTGGTCATGATTAGTGCTTTCTGCTTAAGCAGAGCCTGTGTCGGGGCTGAGATAAGCTGACAGAATTACACAGGGGTGACCTGTTATAATTCTTGTGCCTGCTGGAGTCTAACAAGTAAAATTGTTCATCTGGTATTGGAGAATGTTGAGTATAAATACTTCTTTTCTCTGAAGGATGTGACATTAGTCAATTAACTTCCAAGATTTACTTTTTTAATTTCAAATGAAATAAGGATTAAATTTCTCTTTGTCATCTGGGAACAATTATTTTTTTAATATTTTAGGACATGTATGTAAGTATATCTCTTCAGGAATACTGAATGTGGAATCAGCTCTGTTCCTCTGCTATCCCCTGCCCCGTTCCAGTGTTAAAAGTAGCAGCTCAATATAACTGAGAAGCAGAAAGAAAATACTTTTAGTTCACTACATAAGAACATTTGATGTACAGTCAGTTAATGTTTTTCTCTGCAAACACTGCCAAGTTCTTTTACTTTTATGAAGAGAGAATAAATTTGAATAAGAAAGTGACTGTGAAACTTTAAAAACTGGGCTTATTTCAAGCTGACAAGCTCTTTCTGCTGCAGGTACTGTATCCTTTTGTACTCTGGAGCGTGTTCACTGGAACTGTCATATCTGACACCTTTCAAGCAGCTTGTATGGGATTCCTGGTGCACTGATGGGGTTTGATAGCATATTTGAGATTGGGGAGTTCACAGTATTCTCTTTGTGTCTGTATCTGTAGGTGATAGTAGCCACCAACATTGCTGAGACCTCCATCACAATTCACGGCATTTCATTCGTAATTGATTGTGGTTTTGTGAAGCTGCGGGCCTATAACCCCAAAACAGCCATCGAATGCCTTGTGGTGGTACCAGTATCAAAAGCTTCAGCTAATCAGAGAGCAGGGCGTGC